GTGAAGAGATGTTTAAACTCATGACCTACTGATTGGAGCTCCAGAAGCTTATTCAAAACGCCATAGGACTATATATTACGCAACAACACAAAAGGAAGTTTTTACTGTTCTAAAAGTGGGATGTTATGAGGTGAATACTTGCGTTATACGCGTTTCTTCTGCAAATATACAAAAAGCAGATGGTTACTACATCTAACGGTCTCCGCAAGGTATTAGGTAAGCAAATGTATGCTGACTGTGGTCAACAGTATATTGTGACTTAATATAATATAACTGAAGCCAAGAAAATCAATGTACTTAAACATTCAGCTAACTCTCTTTATTCAAACAGTTTAAAACCGTTAAAAGAGTTTTTCAAAATGATTCTCAATCCACATATATTTTTACTTTCTCAAAATTTAAACAGTCTTCAGCATTTTAATATGAACTGCCTTTCTTTTTGTACACCGAAAAAAAATGCTTCGAAACCTAGACTTCATTCTGGGTAAAATTTTCTCAGTAAACCTGTTACCTTTCCTTAAATTAAAGCCTACTGTATCCTTAACTTTAATCTTGAGTAAAAATCAGTTAACCTGTCCAGGATATCAAAAGTGATTCCGTTTCAGTTATCTGAATTAGTGATTAATCCTTGCTACTTTTATATCTATTTATATATTTTCTGCATTATACTATAGATTTTATCACAATATACTAACCCATTTATCATTTCTCTCATACAACACAACATGTGTTATTACAGCTATAAGTAATACTTCTGTTACACATTGTTCATGTCTTCTTAAATATTCATTCAGTGAAGTGTCTTTAGGATAAAAGTTGACACTCAAAGGACGACACTCAGTGAGAAGTAATCTGGTTAGATTGGCGTACAAGCAGTAACACATTAATACAGTATAGTTAAAATATGTTGTAAGGAGTATATAATGTGTGATGTTTTCTGCAAAAGTATTGAATAGAGGAGAGACGGATTAAATGGCAAAGAGAAGAAGTGAAAGATCTCCATGAAACACGAGAGCGTAACAAAAGAAGTACAATACAAGAACAAGTGTGAATGGAGATTTCAGTGTAACGTTTTTGTATTTTCCCATAACTCTACTAAATCATTTTTCTAAATTACAATTCTACTGAAAAATACCACCCTGTTCTGTTATTCCACTATCAGTTATCTTTCACAATCTCACCAAATCTTATACACGCTTACCGTTTTACGAAATTATAGTTAATATACTGAACTTGACAGATTCTACACTCTGATTTACATTGGAAAAGAAAACCAACTTCAAAATAGTACCGAACTACAACTCACAGAGCCGAATAAGTACAGACTACTGGATTTCTGACTAACTACTTGAGTAAAGTGATGACACCATAAATCCAAATCCAAATTTTGAAAACTGGTTAGCAATTTGTCATGTACACAGTTTGAGGTGTGAAATTTTCAACTGAGTTTTCTCCGGAGACGAAATTATTCGGATCACAGTATGTGATCTGCTTAATGCCATAAATGCTAATCAAGATGATGAGCTCGTTTGGAGACGAGCGAGATAGCCATCCAGTGTTTAGATATACAGATACAACAGGCGGCCTGCTTGAATCACTAAGCTACTAAAATTGCTTCCACTAAAATGCTTAATTTCATTTGGATTCATCATTGTTTCAATCGTCGAGTTATGTCAAATGACCTATACATGAAATCGCGCGCTGATTTAACTTGCTTACAAGTAACTGCTGTGCAATTCTTCAACGAAATGAAGATGTACTACAAAATATTAGTTTACATGCAAAACCCGTATGAAAAAGAAAGTATTTTTGGAACTAAATACGCTGAAAATTTTTGTGCCATATGTTCGCATATTGTCTGAAATAAAGCCTTATAATTATATATTATTAAATTACCTCGCTCTCGCTAGCAAGCACTACTGATTGAAAATGTGTGGTATACAACTACTCATCTTGATCAGTCAGTAGTATATAGTGTTTCAGGCAAGTTTGTTTGCTGTGTTGATTACCATTTATAATGTCGAAGCAGATCATTCACTGTGATCTGATGATTTTAACCCTTTAACTATGTATAGTGGAAATTGCTAACTGATTTGCAAAATGTTAATTTGATTTGAACACAGTCTACTGAATAATACTCGTTGAATATATAGACAACTTAAAAACCAACATATCCTGTAATGGATTCTCATAATTACATCGTATCCATAGTTATAATGATACAACAGGTAACAATTAAACTCACTATAACCATTATGCCCACCACTGAAATAATAATGTCTGCTTAATATTAGTCAAATTTCGACTCAAGAGATAGCAGTGTGTTGTGAATTAGTTAGTCAGTCTTCTAACTGAACAAGGCCCGAATCTTTTCATTTTAATTACAACATGTACATCTGCTAAAGTGATGACTACATTAACCTGAAGAAAAATACACTAGATACTAAAAACTGAGGCCTGTCATTACCTCTTAAGTTACATGGAAGGTAGTATATATGTGAAACAAACACTTGTAGGGAACTATAAGACCACTAGGTAGTTCCAATGATTATGTAACATTTCACCAAGTTGTAGTTACTGACAATACTATGTCGTGAATTGGCAGAAGTTAGAATTCATAGGTCATTGGATCGGGTTCTAATGGCTAAATGGTCTACAAGCTCGCTTTTTATCCAGAAGGTCCTCGGTTCGAACCCCGGGGACGCATAGTGCTGAAGAGTCCCAAACTAGGACGAGACGGCTGTTCGGTACTCTCAGGTTTTCCAATGGTTCTTTAACCGATATCAGCTCATGATGAAATCCTGTAACCGATCAATCAAATCCCTACAAACCAATATTTGAATATTGAACAAAATGTTTTGTGAACGACTTTAAGTTAGTGAGCCACAAAATGTTAAATGCTCACCAATGTGATGAACACATCTCGGATAAGAGCGCCTTTTGCCAATAAAAGCTAAGATTATCTCTGAGTTCATAAGCAGAATAAAAAAGTGGCTATTATTATTATTATAATTCCTTAGGTTTCAACTAATTGCTTGCATACTGCCACTTCAAATTCATATCTATCTCATCCTGTTAAATAAGAATTCAGAAAAATCTGTAACGGAATTCAACAGTTGTATAACTCAACCGAGTAAACTTGACAACCGTCAGCAGGTAACGTATTCATCTTACAAAATGGGATAAATACTGAATTAAGTGAATTGTAAGGACTGTCTGTCTGTCTTTTCTCGACATAGAACTTTGCACATATGTGCGGCAGTTCAAGTTGCCACACTCCATGTAGCACACAAAGCAAGAGAAGAAAGTAGGAGAAATGAATATTAGAGACAGTAAACAGAAATGTGCAAGAGAAAGACTGCTAACATGAGAAACCATGATGGTTTAGTAGGGGTGACAGGGTGGATGCACCTGCACCATAAAGAATGATTTCAGTCACATAACCGGTAGTCTCCAGCCAATGCATCTTAGAATCCCGAGGACCCAAACCAAGCAGTATACAACTCCGTGCGTGGCTCAAACTAACTGTCGAAAACTTCATGGATTGGTGCCAGACTTAACTTTGACTACCATTAACCCTTTTCCAACCTAATCCAATGTCAGCTAACATTACCCATCGAGGAAGACGATGGCTTGGTATGAGCAACAGGCATCCTAGCCATTTCAATCGATGCAACTTCACAATCTATCCAACTGACTTACCCTCGTTATCTGATACAGGAAAGGGGATAATCAGACGCACATTAGTGAGGATTTTAAGAATCTAGAGAACGGGGAGTGAATATATTTGTACCGATCGTGTTTCTAACCGTATCATGAATAATCCAACCACATATTTCTAGTATTTCAAGGAGCCCAACCATGTGTAGTCTACATCTCTGTGTAGTTCGAACCGGACGTCTAGAACTTTAAACACTAGTTCTACTTTTTCGACCGGCCACGCCTAACTAACATTCAACATAGCGTTATCTAAGTTAAGACTGTTCGTCGAGGGTGGCATCTAAGCATGTGCTAAACAATCGGTGGGAATTTACAGCCCCATCCACTGACTATCCATGCATACATAGTACTACGCCTAGCGCCAATATTACTGTTCATATTGCTCTACATATACTAATGACACAATGAGACGTAAGACCTGTCAGGCAAGATATTTTAGATGATACAAAGGCTATGTAACAGATATAGAACTGGGGAAAATGAAGTGCATCTTAAACTGTCTAGTGACTCAAATTTACGGTATCAGTAATGGTTTTGCTTCAATGGTTTAGTGGGAAGATCCCATTTAAATTCGTAATACCCGAAATAAACAAAGGCGAGATATGACTCCATAGGAAATGATAGCACAAAAACTTGATTGTGTCCATTGATGATAAATTTAGATCTGTGATCTACCTATGTTGACGATTTACTACATACATATGCTAATAAAATTAACTTTCAAATTAAAATGTTAGACTAGGAGAAACTGAAATAATGGTAATTGTAAGGACTGGATATAAACGGAGGAGACTGTTATATGACATAATGCGCACCAGTTAGGCATTCGAGTGGAACTCGAATGGAAGACGACAAGCTGGTAGCGAATCCTAGGTTGACATGAAAGAGATCATATGAAGAGGAAATGAAGTCTTATGGACAATCCTATAACCAAATAAAGAAAACTGCGGAGAACAGTGTAAAATTGAGATGTGCTGGCAAAGCCCTCTGTTTCACCTGAAAGCCCAGGGATTAATAATAATATAGGAATAAATTCATTTAAAATGGTTTCAAATAATTATTTTCACCAATTGGCACTATAATCCAATCAATCGCTACAATCTAACAAATGAACACTTCTGTTCTAAGTTAACAAATCAGCTGTTTATAAAATGTGATAAAACCAACTGTATACTTTGTGAGTAGTAATCAAATAGGACTACACTAATCATCATATCTAGATATATTAAAATACACCACCAACAACAAAAAACATTAATTCGCTTATATTTAAAACTCACTTGTAATGCATTATATAATATCTGATGTTCATACTTTTTCACGCCTAATGTAGCTTGAAATAATTCATATAATTGTTCTTTAGTCATTACTAATTCTGGTTGAGGAACTTGTAATTTCTGTAGAACAGATGATGGGCCAGCACCACCACGACATATTTGATCAAATTTTACCATCCATGCACTAACAACATTAGCTTTATTTAAACCTTCAATTTGTGGTAAACACTGTACACGATGTTCACTGTTCAATCGAAACACCTCACGAAAATCATGCATTGAACAACCACCACCACGTACCATACTTGCTACACGATCACTGCGTAAAAATACCTATGGTTTGTTTTTACAAAAAAAAAACAACAACAGGAAAATAACAATAATAGAAATAAAATAATTACATGAAGCAATGTTAGTAACTATGTGAATTTTTCTTAAAAATAGTATGTTCTTCTCAAGCATTTTAATTGTATCTTCAAGTGTTAGTTTGTAGAGATTTGACTGGTTTTAAGTTTGGTCACAGATTCATATCAGTTAAGGAATCATTGAAAATCAGGCAGTACTGGATAGTTCTCCCGATTTAGTATGGAACTCTTCACAGTATCCGCTCATTAACTCAGTGGGGATCGATCCTAGTATTGAAATCAAGCGAATTTCACTTAATCAGAATACGAACACCAAACGATGTGATATTTTTTTTCAATATAATAACCTATTGTTCATGTCCCGCTGAATAGCATAATATACATAGAGTACCGTAGTTTTATAAGTATAAGATCTAACTTTTAAAAAGAGTTAATTTAAACAGAGAACTTTCCACAGAAGTACAGCAGTTCAAGTTACCGAACTCTGAGTAGCGCACAAAGACAGAGAAAAAGAAGAGAGATTCAAAAGAAGTACATACGCGAGAAACAATAGTAACATGGAAAAACAATAAGGTTTAATGAATATGGCAAGATCGCAGAGAGTGAATGCATCTGCGTCGATGAGAACAATTTTGAGGCATATCACCAACAGCCCTTAGCTATTGGTTCTTAGTGCGTCGGTGGTTTAGCGGTAGAATGCTTGCTGATCACGCATGTCGTCAGGGGTTGAGTCCCCGGCTGATATACTCCTTTATCTAGCTAAGCTGGTAATAAGACCAGTAAAGAGGGAAGGTTGGGCATGCGGTTAGCAACTCTACCCCGTCGGTGGCACAGTGGTTAGGACTCTCGCCGACCATGCACATGGTCCGGGGTTCGATCCCCTGCCGGCACACACCCGATATCTATGGTCGGCCTGAATTTGGGCTACCGATATCCATGCTGAAAATTCCACACTTGTACTGAAAATACGGTGTGGCATCAAGCTGTAAATAAAAATAAAAAAATAAAATAAAACATACAGCACTACAACTGCCTTATGTTCCACTAGGAACGTAAAGGAAAAACTACTACTACTAACTATTGGTACTTAGCATCTCGAGGACGTCAAACAACCAGTCTACACCTCCTTACGTGGTTCAAACCAACTGTGAAATATTTCACAGACTGATGTCAGACTTAGGTTTAACCACTTCTAACTCTTTTTCAACTTTATCCTATATCAACTAATAGTGTTAGTCGAGAAATGCGGTGGCTTGGCATGCGCAACACCTCTCCTAGCCATCTCCCTCGATTGACTTACCCTCCTAACTCAACTTCTAAAATCACTCCAAGCCTAGTATAAGCATTTTCAGAAGGCCTTAGGAAACCAGAGAAAATGACAAATTCAACCTGGTTTCTAGTAAAAGAAAAAAATATATAACAAATTCCACACTGAAACCATTTATCATACATCACATTAAAGCTTTATAAATTAAGAGGATATATTGATAAAAAATGTTGAATTCATCAAAACCAAAGATAAATCAGGAACAACAGAATAAAGTATATCGAAGTAATATATTAAAAAAATGGTACTTTTCCTTAAAAATAAAAACTGCCGCAGACAATAAGTCTGACTTTCAGATGTCTAATTTCATTCAATTCACGAGCCAACTGTCTTTGACGTCATCACGGAAAAATTCAAAGGAAAAAAAGAAACTGTTATTGAATCAGTTTTACGACGAGAACTCAAAATAAAAGGTTTCCTAGTACGCTTAGGGAAAGTATAGTCTTTGCAAAGATATAAGTTAATTACTCATATAACTGAAGACTAAACAACTGCTTTATTCTCCTTCCATCATCTTACAAAGAAGCATAATACTTAAATCTACAGAAGGAATTAAATATAATTGGCCTGCAGTTGATTTAGTTTAATGTCGCTACAGTGAAGAAGTCCTAAAAGTTAACAAAACAAATGTAATTATGAATGCTAACAATATATATTTTTCAAGAGTAAGGTTGCAGGGATTTAATTGGTTATAAATTTAACCTTCGACTGATATCCGTAATAGCACCATTGAAATCTAAGGAGTACTGGACAGCTGTTTCGTCCTAGTTTGGGATAGTTCACAGGTATCCAACAGCCGGAATTCGAACCCAAGGCCTTCCACCTACAAGTCAGGCTTGTAGACCATTCATTCACTGGGACCCAACTCATTGAATAGCACATGAATTACAAATTCTGCCAATTCATCATTTTATACTTACCAACAGCCGATGTCATCATCGAGTACTCGTTTTCATTCCAGAAGGGGTGGCCCTCATTGGTCATTAGAACTCCAGGAAACTATATCCTGTAGTCAATCACTAGCAAGCATCGGGTCCCAGTGCCTGAGTGGTCCACGAGCTTGTCTAGTACCTGAAATGTTCTGGGCGAGTACTTCCGATGAGTACCAAACTAAGACGAAACGGCTGTCCAGTAAACCCTGGTATTCAGTGATTCTCTAACTGATATCAATCGGTGGTCAATTTAGAAACAAAAAATATAGTTATACATATAGTATGAGAAGTAAACTCACTGAAAATAAATTTGAAAAAAATAAATATGCTTAACGAGAATAAAAGGTGTGTAAAGAAATGCATAAACATTTCGCAGAAAGACACATGGATGAAATAAACTGACTGACTGACTGGCTGACTGAATTCAGGGAAAACTAACGTACAGCTCATGACAGATATGCATCAGTTAAAGTTTTCACGCTTCAAAAAAGTTCATAAAGACGAGTACAGAATAAATAATGATACATATGTACGAATAAATATGAGTGTGATAGAGAATAATTTGATGATAACAATAGCTAACGAAAAGACTCAGATATGTACACTTAGTTATTCAAAATATGTGTTATTGCATTATTCACAAGCATGGAGTTTTAGTGAGAAGTCTTAACCAGCAGGGTCCACCAATTCAGATGAGAGATCAGTTACTCGTCCACCACATCGGCTAGCAATCGCACTATACATTCATATATATACATATATATATATATATCGCAAGTTGGTAGAATTTGGAATTCTTATGCAGGCCATTGGATCTGGTCCCAGTGACTGAATGGTCTAAGAGCTCACCTTGTAACTGGAAGGTCCTGGGTTCTAACCCCAGCGGGTGCTTCCTGACAAAGAAGTCTTGAACTAGGACGAAACATTCATTCAGTATTCGTAGGTTCTTCAATGGTTCTCTGACTGATGTCAACCTGTGATTAAGTTTGTAACCAATCAAATCCCTGTAAGCCAACACTTGATAAAGGCAGAATTAACAGAGACTGAAAACAACTTGACAACAACCATAAGTAGGGTGACCATATTATCGTTTAAGTCATTAATTTACCACTTCACTTGATTCTAGATGCAAGCATATGCATAACAGTTACTTAGTAGGAACAAGAAACAAAAAGTAAACTTGAAAGAACGGCATTCACATCAATTTTTGTCGATACGACTGACATTCGGAATCCTATTTTACTAACGTCTCCCCTTTTAACATTTTTTGTAATAAAGATGCTTAAATTCACAGAAAAGAACTATTTTTACTGCCATGCGATAGGCACAGACACTATACAAGCCTTGTCCATAAAACAAAATATACAGTAGTATTGTGGTGAGAGCAAGCTGCTAGCCAATTGGTAGACATTGATCCACGCTGATTGGTCGAAATTAATCTAGGCTGATTCAACAACCGATCACAGCTGACCTAGACGTGGACAAATATGATTCGCAGACAAGTGGCTCGCATTTCCGAGAAATATCGAAAACGAGAAAGCAGAAGACTGCGTTTGTTTGCAAACAACCAATCAGAAGACCGCCTTCTTTCTGCGGGCAGAAGCCTATTAATGTACATAAAATACATATAAATACCTGTTGGTTTTCGTAATAAAACTGATCTGTTGCCAGCCTTGTCTTCTGTTGTTACAGTATTAGTTGGTTGGAGACAGACTGCAGGAAGCCATCGACCTAGGTTACACGCTTGTTGCCTCATGTCACCAATCACGAAGGAACTCGTGTTCCTTCTGAGATTCAGACCCGTGCCACTCAGCTCTAGAGTCCTAGACGTTATGACGAGCCATCTAGAATGTTGGTCACATTGCAAACTTCACTGAGAGCATTCAGTCTGCACCAAACAAAGGAATAGACGCATGACACTAGTGTTCAATTACAGCATACAGTTGTATTGATTGCTGATGATCTAGATCACATGTTACTCAACCGATAAGATTGTTTAAAGCGTAAACCTGAGAGAGTATCTTATTAGGTATACTCATTTTTTTACAAATAATAAAAAAGAAAAAGGAATCAAGTGGAAAATCAAAAGAGAAAAAATGGAAGTGTTGAACTACCGAATTTATTTGAAGAGAATACACGCAATCTGGATGTATATCTTGTATTTTTGTCGCTTAAAAAAAGGAGAATTATATATATATATATACTTTTGCAAAAAAACAAAAATAAAATTTACACACACAAGAATATTTTCAGCTGTACTTATCCAAAATTCGTTACACTCTAAGCTTAGAAAATATTACCGCCTAAGCAAGGAAATACAAATTACAACGAAATGATAGTTAGAATATATTGTTTCATCATTTCATAAATCCAATAATATTAATAATAATAATAGAGATTTTGACTTTAATGAAAATCGGCGCTGCTCTACTTTTCAGTCATGAAAGTCAATTAACACTTGCCTTTCATATCATATTTTAAAGATTTTACATCCCGGTGTATTCTATTGTTTGAGATAAACTAGTGTTATATTTCGGAAGTAGACCTCAAGTCCTATTAACAACTGACACCTTACATCTGATACTATATTACATAGCACTAAATTGTACAACAGTGCTATGCCATACAAACCACTTATCAAGTTCCACGCCTATCCAATAAACTTCAGTCATCAATGAAAACTGGATGGATACATTAGTAACGCAAACAGGTGACTACTTAGTCATTTGAGCTTAATACATTTGCATCGGAATTTGAATAGATTCACAATAGGTTGATATTCACCATTCGGATCTTTGTCACAGAGGCACTCTCACGCAAGTCTTTGATCGGCTTAGTAGATTATAATGACTGACTGACTGGTTTCAATATAGAACTTAGCACCGATGTGTAGCACTTCGAGTCGCCACACTTCAATCAGTAGACAAAGCCAGAGAAGAAGAAGAAGAAGAAAGTAAAAAGAAACGCAAAATAGAGACATTAAAGAGAGGTATGACGCAAAAAAGTATAGTGATATCGAAGAGCAAATGAACTAAGGGTATAAAGTATTGTATTGGTAATTTGCTTGAAAACTCACTAGAATAACTGTGTATTATTTGTGAATCAAGAAAACCCTCTTATCTTCGGTAAGATATGAAGACGTTTGCAATACAGACACCTGGTTTATTTATTATTATTGTTTCCTTTAATTCCTAGAGGAACATAGGGCTTCAGCCACTCACGTCTCCATTGCGTTCGGTTCTCTGCTACAGTCTTTACCTGGCTCCAAGTCTGCCCACACATTTTCATCTCCTCTTCACATGACCTCCTCCAAGTCACCCACACTCGCACTGACGACCAACTCGCCACTTCCCTTTCGGGTTCCACTCGAGCAATGGCTTGTCTAGTGACGTCACTTGATGCTTTGTTTCCTCAGAGTATGGCTAATCCATCTCCATTTCTTCCTGCCTATTTGTTTCACAATCGGTTCCTGGTTGGTTCGCTCCCAGAGATCTCTATTGCTGATCTTTTCTGGTCATCTGATCTTGAGTATTGGGCGAAGACAACTGTTAATGAAGGTCTGTAGTTTGTTTGAGATGCTCTTTATGACGCGCCGACCAAGTCTCTGATCCGTATAGTAGCACTGACTTCACATTGGAGCAACCCATAAGGTCGCTTCTCTCTAAACTATAATTTAATGTAACAATCCCCTTCTCAGCCGTGAGGCTAGCAACCCCACCCTGTAAACAAAGTTGCTACAGAAACTTCTGCACGATAAATCTCCTTATACCTGGTTTATGCCCTGTTATAATCCAGCTTTGAATTATATTCATAACAAATAGCTAAAATTAGATTACTTTGGATAGCGGTCTTTATTCCTTGAAGGTGAAGTATCAATAATCCTGGCTACATCATAAGACACATTTGTTGACCTAATAAATGGAGGTGAAGTCACTGCTGATACTAACAGAGAATTCAGCGGCAATTTCATACGTTTGGTGATGAATCTGTAAACCAGTTGCTCGAGTATTTTGTAACATTACACTTGAGCCATGTATACACTTAGAGTAACCAGTATTAAATTCTTTGTAAATATGCTTGTCAGTATGCTCCTCACAAAACAACCAGAACCAAGAGTGTGCATTTAGTATTTTGTGTGGAGGCAATATCCAAGGCAAAATTTTAGTTATCCTAACATTTTATCATATAATTTTATAAAATTCTATATACAACTTACCTCATAATAACTTTGTACAGCATTTGTAAAAGCTTCATCGCCTACAACATCTAATTCACCACTAAGAAAAGCTTGAAAGCGTTCTTTAAATGTATTCAATTGTTGTTTAGTTATTTTTAAATAACGACGTATTAAATCAGTTGGTGGTTTTGAATAAAATGGATAGGCTATGCAACGCATTACAAAAACATATCTAGAATAAATAAAAGAAAAAAAGTGTGTTTTATTAGTAGAATAAAGTAAAATAACAGGATTAATAGTATGACATTTACTTCCTATTTGATTACTTTAGATGAACTCTGTCCGATTAAGAAGAAAGATGAGATTCAACCGAGTACTTTGTTACGGTATTTCATTATTAGCTGACATCGGTTAGAGAACAATTGGGAAACCTGGGAGTACTGGACAGCTGTGTCGTCAGCCTAGTTTGGGACTCTTCAACAGTACACACCCACACAGCGGGGTTCGAACCCAGGACCTACCAATTACAAGGCGAGCTTGTAGATCATTCAGCCACTGAGATCAGATCCAAACACCCGCCCGTGAATTCCAACTTTTACCTATTCACCATATGGCGCGACCACTAGCCAATGTCATCGGTGAGTATGCGTCCCCACAACCGACCTGCTGTACCGTACTGGTCATGACTTTGTGTCGTTGAGCAAAAGTTCAGATTACCTTACAAATTATTCCACATAAATGTTGGGCTATTTTGTAGAAATTAAGACAATCAATATTAGTTTTGACCTTAAGAGGCGTGAAATAATCAACTAGTGACAATGAAATACCAGTCAATTATCACATAAGTCCTACACCTAAATACAGCATTATATGTTCAAACTCAGTGGCTAAAAATTATAGTACTGGGGTCTGTGACTTCATCTCTAAAATATTCATACGAACATATACATTTCACAAAAGTGGATTGTATGGTCAAATCTACAGCTAGGTGATGCATAATTGATTAATTCTTTTGTATTCCAAGTGGAACACACGGCTTCAAGTTTTGAGGTTTCAGTAGCAATGATATCGCTTTCCTTATGTGGAATTGTAAGCCTCGCACTCAACGTTCCCTCCAGGCCAGTCTTACTACTGCCTGGATGAGGCTTAAGCTTGCATCAGCCAGGAATACAACCCGGACCAAGTGCACAATTGACCAGAATTATACCAGCTCTTAAATCTCAACTTCTGATCCGTATCTACCACTCAAGTGCGCTGTCACTTTAATCACAAAAAATGAATCACTCAGATGTAAGAGGATGCAGGGATCTAAAAGTCTGCAGTGAATAGGTTTTCTACACCAAGTGACATTGCAAATAGGAAGTATGTAAAAGAGCTTCTTCTTTATACAAATAAAAAATACACAAATAAAAGGAAAAGAAATAAAAGTAAACATGACATCCAGAATCAACGCATAAACGTCACTGTATATACAGTTGCTTTCAGTCTTGATTTATATCATGGAAACTTTTACTGAAGCATCGACGATCATCCTCCCATGTAGCCTATACTGTTCTACAATCTTCAGTCCACTCACTGGATATTTAGCATATTTTTTAACTAAGACGGGAACTAGGTGTTCGCAGGACAATATTCAGCATAAATGTCAACTCTGATCTACATCAATTCATCACACTGTTCATAGAAAAGGGACCGAAAATGAAACTACGGAGTTTACTGAAATCTGAACATTCCATTGTAACGCTTTTGTATGTTGCAATAACTGTGCTACATCATTTTCCTAAATTACAATTCTGCTGACAAATACTACCTTGCTCTGAGATTCCAATCCCAAATTTTATACACGCTTATAATTCTACGAAATTATTGTTAATATACTGAACTTGACAAATTCTACACTCAGTTTTACATTCAACAAGAAAGCACCGAACCATATGCTACTTATTTACTACTGATTGATTGAAATGAGTAGTTGTATACCACACACACACATCAACCGGTAGTGCTTGCCAACCAGAACAAAGTGATGTAATCACTGGACGGCCGTTTCGCTCGATTGGGACCGACCTCCTCATCAGTGTACACAGTTTGACTCAGGTCAGGGAGCCGAATCAGCTCAAACCACTCGATTTCTAAGGGGCTGTTTGGACACAATAACATTTTGTAAATCGGTTGGCAATTTTCCACGTACACAGTTTGAGGAGTGAAATTTCGGCGGAGTTTCCTATGGAATCGAAACTATTCAGATCCCAGTGTCTAGCAAGCACTACTGGTTGAAAATGAGTGGTACACAACTACTCATCCCAATCAATCAGTAGTATATAAAGTTTTATGCTTACCACTAGTTGCTAATACAGACTTATCGCAGTGCGTATTAATGAAACATTAGATTATCTCCTAAATAGTTGAAAGTTCATCTACAAAGCCATATTCTAATAGTGAATACTCTAGTGAAGCAAGATAAGGAAGTATATCTCTACAGTTTAGTTCATACCATATCATAAAGAAAAGAAACCTTTCGTAAAAGCCAATTACAGTGTATTGTATTTATTATTAAATAACACTGAAACTGAACCATTTTGATTACGTATGCAGATAGACTTTTCATCTGTGTCACCAGTAAAACAGAGTATTCTTTAAAAATGAATGAATAAATAAATGAGTAAATAAATAACCAATAATAGTTGATAAATTTTCACTGTACTCAATCATCAATCAATAATTTTGCCTTTGTCAAAAAAAAGAAGAAAGACAAAAGTACATTTTATGCTTGCTTCATCATGAATAGTAATTATGTCAATTATTTTCAAGGTAGATTACTTTTAAAGTGAATTTAGAGAGATGCTGAAGCAAGATAGTCAGCCAGTATATGTATATATAAGGAAAAAAGCATATTAATAGTTGGGTTTGTTGTGTTTTTCCGTTAATTTATGAACAGTATGAGAGAGAGAATAACTTTCTAATGAAGTTTTATGATACAGGGAATTCGACTGTATTTCTTTTTTAAGAATAAAACTATGTAAGGGAAATTGTTCGCATTCCACTATTCATCTTTTATGACTTCGATTGAAATTTAATGAATTATATATCTATTAAGCAGGGAAATATTACTTCACATTACTGGTTTATAAAAAAAATATTAGACATTAGAAGATAAGCAAGGGATATATATATATATATATACATATAATTCAGGCCGATGTAATTGGGCATTCATTCTATTATTTTATTATTATATGAATTCATACAAGTTAGATTAATTTTGTTGTGGGTTATCTACCTAGTGAATAACTTACATTCTGCTTACTGTTGGTAGTATCCCACTCAACAGACTTGTACTTCCATTTACCAACTAGTCAAGAAAGTAATGAATTCATAAATACCAGACCAAGTGGACTGAATGTTCAAGGAGTTTGGCCTGATAACCCGAAGGTCCTGTGCATATGGTCGTCGGTGAGCACTACTGAAGAGTTCTAGACTAGAAAGAAACAGCTGTCCAGTAATTCTTACTTTTCAGCGGTCTCACTGACTAATGTTAGTTCGTGACGAAATCTATATTGAATTCATGGATTTGTGTTACGTTGTAATTTAGTCATTTATAATTTAAACAGTTGAAAGAATGCGTAACTATTTACTTTTTGAGTTATTCTTAATTCACTAGAAGATGCATAAAACTTGTTGGAATCCAATAGGAGTTTGCGATGATCAAGAATACTTCTACTTTAACTCTTAACTCAGGCGAAACAATGGCTATTTAGAAATACATATTTAAAAATCAGTTTTCACCTTACAGCTTGTTTAACTAAAGCAAGTGTATATGTCAAATGCATTTTTTCTATAAACTGTGCCTTAGTTTGGTTCATCAATGGTTCAGTGGTAGAATGATCACCAGGCACACTGAAGTTCCGGATTTATAGCCCAGCAGACACACTCCTAAACCCTGTCCAATTTACTGACCAGTAGAGAGCAAGCTGAGGAAAGATGGAGGGCTAGACTATAAGACTAGGTTTTAGGTTGATGAAGACGTATCTTGCCTCTCCGATTCTGGCCTGCTTTGACATCTCCATACGTTCCGACTGCCTGACGTTGAAATGATGCTTCCTACATAAGTGAAGGAAGTAACCTCTGTTAAATTTCTCCCGCTAATTGTGACTGGTGCTGGTTGTTGTTGCTGTTCGCTGGTTATGTTCATCACCTCCGTCTTCTCAATGTTGACCTGCAGTCCTGTCTCCGCTGCCTGCTTCTTTTGCCAGTTTGTTGGTTTTCGCCTAAAAGTCTTCGAATTTGTGTGATACTAGATACATATCATCTGCAAAATCCATATCTTCTAGAGTCTTCTTATCGGCGGTCTAGCGTATTCCTGTCTCCTCGCTCCCCGCAGTCTGACGCATAAATAGCTGTAACTATTTTATTTTAATAGGACTTAAGATTCATACCACCCCTCCTCAGTTATGTAAAAATCATGTCATATACTTCATTTCAGTACTCCCAGAAATAGCAGGTGTAACTTCAAGCACTAGTGAAGCAAATACTGACAAAATAATTTAGACTGATGAGCTCAATCAATGAATATCCTCACTGTGAAGCATAAAGCTAGGCTTCTTATACCATATGTACACTAGTAACTGTCCGTGTCTTTTTCTGTTCGACAGGTTATATAACCTAAATAAGTCAGTAGCTGAGTGTGAGACAGGTTTGAATCAACAACGGAAAGTGAGTTCTTTCAAAATGCTACATATATATGCATATATAAAAGAAATTAGGTAGGTTTCGTCTACTGATTAACTCTTAATATCTGCTAAAACCAATTATGGTTCACTGAAATATTGTATGGCTTAACTTAGTAGTTACAGTGAACACATGACCAATAGATGAACAATCTGTATACTGTGTGAGTTAACATCTTACTCACATGAACTCATCTACCCGAAACATAGTTTTCATGTGCCAGACTTTGGGCCATACAATTATTATTGTGTAAGGGTTGGTGATACTTCCTAGTTATGCAGGTTGAAGTAGGTGAAGTGGGACTCGATCCCAGGGCATGTTATTTGCAAATTAAGTTTTCAAGCCAATGAGTTACACTTCCACTAGTTACCATCTTCGCTGAACCATTTGTCTCTAACAAATTAAACAGCCTAATAATCACATTGTAACATTAGTTAACATACAACAGTGGTTTAGCGGTCAAATGCATACCAACCATGTATGTGGTTAGGGTTCGATTCCCTGCCAATGCACTCCTAAATCTTGACTAGTCAGTAGTGAACCTGTTAAAAGATGGAAGAAGGATGCATGTGAGGCTAGCAATCTCATCCTGTAAAAACACAACTCTAGTGTGGAAATTCACAACTCATGCTTGAAGCTCTATATTCCACTTGGAGTGCAAAGGAAATATTATTATTATTGTTTCCTTTAATTCCTAGAGGAACATAGGGCTTCAGCCACTCACGTCTCCATTGCGTTCGGTTCTCTGCTACAGTCTTCACCTGGCTCCATTCTGCCCACACGTTTTCGTCTCCTCTTCACATGACCTCCTCCAAGTCACCCACCCTCGCACTGACGACCGACTCGCCGCTTCCCTTTCGGGTTCCACTCGAGCAATGGCTTGTCTAGTGATGTCACTTGATGGTTTCCTCAGAGTATGGCCAATCCATCTCCATTTCTTCCTGCCTATTTGTTTCACAATCGGTTCCTGCTGGGTTGGTTCGCTCATTGCCAGAGATCTCTATTGCTGATCTTTTCTGGCCATCTGATCTTGAGTACTGAGCGAAGACAACTGTTAATGAAGGTCTGTAGTTTGTTTGAGATGCTCTTTGTGACGCGCCAAGTCTCTGATCCGTATAGAAGCACTGACTGACTTCACATTGGAGTTGAAAATCTGGATCTTATTTTTGATGCTGAGTTCTGTTGACCTCCACACAGACTTGAGAGTAGTGAAAGCTTGTCTTACTTTTCCGATCCTCGGTGCTTTGATATCCTCGTAGGTTCCGTCGGCCTGTAGCTGAAACGATGCTTCCCAGTTAGGTCGGTAAAGGAGATTGTTTCTTTCAAGTTCCTTCCATTTATGCTGATCGTTGTCTGTTGTTGTTGTTCTTGTTTAGGAATCTTCATCACCTCTGTTTTCTCTATGTTCACCTGAAGTCTTATTTTCTCTGGATGCTTCTTCTGCCAACTTGTTGCTTTTCGCTTGCGTATCTTCCAGTTTGTGGGAAATCAGACACACATCATCGGCGAAGTCCAGGTCCTCCAAGTTTTTTGTGTGAGTCCATTTTATGCCTGTTTCCTCATTGCCCACTGTTTGTCGCATTATCCAATCTACTGCAATCAGGAAAATCATTGGCAATAGTAGGCAACCTTGTCTTACTCCTGTCCTCACTTCGAAGGATTCCGTAAGTTTCCCGTTGTGGATTATTTGGCATGCAGCATTGTCGTACAGCTGTTGGATGAGATGTATATATATTCTACTTGGAGTGCAAAGGAATAAAATGTTACTAACTGTGCAATGCATGTTTAACACACTAATTTAACATCTGTCGATTTAATTCATACATGACAGATGCAAATGGTAAGTAGGTAAATACGAGGACCAATGGAATCACTTGACTCCTACATCAGTTGTCATTATTATTATTATTATTATCATAATTAGCGCTATTATTATTATTTAACTGTTACGCAAAAACAAAAATTATACAAAACCATTTGGAGTGAAAATAAATAAACAAATAACAATACTACTCAATAAAAAAAGCACAACACAGATAAGTAGCTGATTGGGAAAAAAGAAAAATAACAATTAATTGTAGCATTTTAATGAAGAATTATAATACTACTCCTGGTATTTATTTTTAGCATAGTATGTAACAGATGGTATTGTTCACTGTACAAACAAGATATCATTCTGCTGTTTACTTAAGTCGTCATACTTTATTTTTAAATCTTTATTTTGGTGGACGAGCCAAAATTATACACACATTATACAGAAATCTGAAAAACAAAGAGAACCGAGCCTTTTTACACATTTAATTAAATGAATTAACAACCAAATCGGATGTATACATAGAGTGATCGATTCCTTTTGGTATATTTGACACAGTTGTTATCATACTAACACTACGATGCAGCTTTCTAGCTTCCTTTCAACACAAAGTATACTGTTAACAGAATTTACAATATATACATTTCTTCATCGAAACAGAATCACTTCACTCAGCTCTATGTCAACCAAAAGACTAAACAACGAAAGAAGATGAAACTAACATCAAAAAATTGTAACAACGGTGAAAAACACTACATTAGCCATAGTGGACACCCTCTTCGTCTTCGTATCCATGATCATAAACTAGCCGTCAAAAACATGACATCCACTCCCTCATATCGTTCCATACAGACAACCACGGACATCAATTCGACTGGAACAACCAACGTTCAAATATTAGACAGTGGAAACACCAAGAATGCTAAAGGATTTTTAGAAGCCTGGTATTCCAGTGAATCGTCAATCAATAGACACATCGACATAGACAAAATTTGCCAATCGAGAAGAAGGAAATCTCACACACAAAGCCTCAAACTTCAGGTCAAGGAAACAATTAGTACCGATACAAGTAGCCTACAAGGTGTGAAGACACAAAAACAACCAATCCCATTTAAGGTCACTCACCATGAGAGATGACTAATAAACTCGACAAACTGAAGTATGCGTTGAAGATGTTGCCTAGTAAGGCAGTGATGAGAGCCTCGCAAATAAACCATCCAACTGAGAAACGAAACTACATTAAAAACAGTATTTTTTAAGCTAGTGCTGAGTATCTTTTTCCATATGAAATAATAACCGCATACTTCCAATCTACAACATTCCATGAAAACGGAGTCTATCCTAATTCGGACGCATGTATGTAAACACTAGTACGTCGGTAGTTCGGGGGTAGACTACTCGCCAATTATTTACATGGTCTGGGATTCGATTTTTCGGCTGGCATACACCCTCATATCTCTTAGCCTGTTGTAAGCCCGACAAAAAAGAAATATTGGGCATAAGGCTAGCAATTCCAACTCGTAAAATAATGCCCTTGCTACTGAAACTTAAAAGCTGTAGCTTGAAGCTCTGTGTTTCCCTCTGGGAACTTATAAGAATGAGGAGAAGTGCAAACACTACGATTTTGCTTATTTTTTTCGCATAAATTTCTTTATTTGAATGCATAAAAGATTTCACTTATGAAAAATTAAAAATAGTGTTTAGTTTAGTCTAATTAATGAGCTGGAATATATATATATATAAAGAAATAAAACACTTATTAAACAAACACATTATACAACATAGATTTACCACAACATAGAAGCCATGACAACACAGTAAGACGACAGTTTCTTTGCTCCAATATTGTGTTTAAAAACCAAATACTTTTGTTCTTTCTCTTCTGAATAATACAATCATTAATTTGACACTTACAATTGTAATGCTTTTCGTCTTTCTTGTTCTTCACGTTCAAGTTTTTCTTGTTCCAATGCAGCAGGATCTCTTAGTATAACAGGTTGATTATTTACAGTGTTAGCTTGTACTACGCCTAGATCTTGACTTTGTGATGCTATTGATGGATTACGACTTTGTCCTTTATCTTGATGTGATTCAACAGATTCTGTAATAGGACCACTATTTGAACTATTCACACTATATGAACTACTTCCATGTGCTCCACTAGCATATCGTTCCATTGTATTTTGTTTAGAAGAAGAATAAGTTTGCTGTGAATATTGTTGTTGTAGCGGTTGAGCGTTCAAACTCATCGCTGATACAGACAATTCACCATCATCATCCTGCATACTATTATATGCTTGTTGTTGAGATTCATGTCTAAGTATAAAATTTAAACAAGAATTTTATTTATTTATCGATATACTAATCTTGTCAACATCAGATTAGTCTATTCCTACTTGAAAAGCCCCTCACTGTCACAGGGTTCTAATTCACCAGTGATACAAGCATTCATAAATGAATATTGACTGCTTTTCAAATACTCACTAATAGTAAAACCAACTTACCAAAGGAATCCTGTTTTAAAATTATTCTGTTCAATCACTTAAAGAGTGTAGTCAGCTAAGCACACACACACACACATATGAGTGGTTTACGATTAAATGAACCACCGGGAATCATCTGTTTTTCTTTTCATTTTAACAAAAAGAGTCAATTTTTAAAGATAAATATGAATGACATTCCTAAAAAGATGCAGAAACCGCCTAATTCTAAGAGAAATTTCGTTACAAATCCATATCATTTAGGCAGCTGTGGAAAACAGAGGAACACTCCTCAGTAATATGTACTGAGTACCAAGCCAGTAACCCACCAGGTTACCAGACAATCCCATAACCACTTAGCCCTCTATGGCTTCAGTCCAATGGAGTATGAATTCTGAATTCTTTCAACTCGTAATACAATGCTACCGCTGCTTAAACTATGATTGTCATATAGCTTAAACAAACTTCCTATCTCGAACCGAATGGAGGGGAGCTTTAAGTTTGTTATGATCCTATTATCCAGAATGACTTTAATTACAATTCCTCAAGAGCGATTTCCCTGTATAACGATGAAAGATTCAATCAGTATTATTCACTAACAACAGACGTTTATCTCTTGTTTGTGCCAGCTGAAGTGAACTCCATCTACCATACCTCATAATGAATTTAGTACGGAATAAAGATAATAATCTGACGTCAGTATTTAAGCAGATGGTAATTTGAGGAGTTACGGCCTCACTTTGATGAAGATGACGGTGATGATTTGTTGTGCAATGACAATAAATATAAAGTCATTTTCTAATAGCTACATTAGGTTAAACCTTGAAAAACATCAATTTTGTGCTACATTGAAAACAAGTTTGTATAAACCTTTTTAGAATGCTTATAAATGATGTACGAAGAAGAGTAGTTCGCTTGTATAGGAAAAATTACTCTATATCATTCGAAGGAATTTAAATTCTTACAATGTATAAAGCTACCTATATTATAGCCTAATGCAGAACTATTTAGATTTCTCATTTATTCATCTCATAACATTTTTGATAAATAAATAACTTATTGATTAACCTACGAAGAACAAAGAAAGTATCAGTCGCATGATTAGAATTTAAACTGAATTAAATATTATTCCTTATATGTTCAAATAACTCAAAATCTCAATTCTGATCAAGAACTGATATCGGTTAGAGAACCAGTGAAAGTCAGAGAAAACTGAGCGGCTATTTTATTTGGGACTCTTCATCAGTATGCACCTATGACTTCAACAGAAATTGAACCCAGAATCCTGAGATTGCAAGGCAAGCTCACTGATCATTTAGCCACTGCAAAGGAAGTTCTAGTGAGTAGTCGTGACCAGCGAAGTTCCATCAGGCCGAGAATGAGGACAGTTACGATGTATATCCCAAACTGACAGGAGTTTGTATTCATGGACCAACGAATGGTTATCTGTTCGCTTCTTAACCTGAAGGGTTTTATCCTTGCTGGGGTAGTGGGTTTCCACTGATGAAGAGCCCCAAACTAAGACGAATAAGTTATTCAGTATTCTCTGATTTTCAGTGGTTCTCCAACTGAAGTCAGTTGGTGATCAGGCTTAAAATCAGCCAAATATGGCACGTTTATGGACCATAATACTTATTAATAGAAACTCAACAGCCCAATATTTTCAACTGAGGCAACCTGACAAGGTAAATATACTTTCTCATTAGAATTAATCAACGTATCACAAAGTGATTCATATCTACGACTCATTTAATATTTCCAACATCATTCATAGAAACATTCACGTAACAAAAAAAAACTTTCTAAAGGCTGAAGCAGAAGAGATCAAGTCACTTCAATCTAGATATTCAAAAATTAGAAAAGAAAACTGAATACTAATCACGTAGAGACTGAGGAGGAATCAACGCAGATCAAAGAAAAAGTTGAGATATTAAATCAATGCTATTGTTCAAGTAATGGCATTTCTCGTTTGACCTATACAAACAAATAAAGTGGTCAGCTAAGTGGAAAAACGTGAACAATGCAAGATAAAAGGATAATAAGACCAAGAACAAACAAAATCGTTAGACTTAAAAGAAATAAGAACAAATTAGTTCAGCGAAGAGTCTCTTTTAGGCGAATTCATTCACTTAGCTGTACAGTCGCAAATATATATACAATTATTTTGTGTGTGTGTGTGTGTACATTAGGTTTGTCAAAATCAAAATAACAGTTAGTGTGGGTTGTTGATTATATCATCAAGATAATGAAGAAGTTAAAATGTGTGATTAATACTCAAAGTTGTAACTAAGTGGGGTGAAGATTGGTAAGATGTGAGTAGGGTTACGTAATATGGACATGTTTAGAAAGATTAGATGCTAGTGAGGGAGTTTGGAGACAATTATGAAAATAAACTAGATAATAGGTGAAAAGATAGAATGGGTTAGTTACTAAAAATTGTTATACGAAAATTGCAAAAAAATTTGGTAACAAAATGTTGATGACAAATAAACTTGGAATTAAACCCACGGTAGTAGGAGGGGGTGGAGAAGTTTCTTCTGTGTGCATAACTCAGGCTTTTCCATCCAAATCGCTAAGGCTTCAGTAATACAAAGTATACGGAAGCTTGTCGATTTTGGAAGGCTTCTTTTGACTTTATAGATGACTTTGAACGACTTCTCGTTGCAAATCGAATGACCAGTGTTGAGTATATGCTCAATAATGGCGCTCCTTATTGCTCCGTTGTTACCTTTCCGTAGCCAGGCGGGATAGTGTTCTTGAACTCTTTTAGATAAAACACGCATCGAACGACCTATATACCTCGCTCCACAAGAGCAGGTGAATTGGTAGATACACATGGAAGTGGTCAAATGCGATAGTTTATCTTTAGAGTAGTTGAAGAACAATGGCCGGGAGGAAAATGTCAGTCGTAGTGTGGCAGCGAAGAATGTCCTTCTGAGAGCAGTAGATATCCTCTTCTTCAAGGTGTCAGCCAGAAGGTCACCTTTGAAGGGTACATTCATGTAGACCATCTTCTTCTGCAGTGTAATGGGTTGTTCTTTGTACGTCTTAGGCTTAATGTGCTTGTCTATAAAACGGGGTGGGTAGCCATTCTCGAGCAGTGTCTTCCTTAAGAGGGCGATCTCTTCCTCTATTGATTCTGGACTACAGATTTTTCGGATTCTAGTCGCCAGAGATATTATCAAATTTCGCTTGCGACTTATTGGTACCCAACTGTAGAAGTTTGTCAATTGACCGTTCCATGTAGGTTTTCTGTGTACTGATCTGTTCAAGGTACCATCGGTCTTCTTACTTAGACGAACGTCCAGAAAGGAGATTGTCTCATTGGTTTCTTCTTCGATTGTAAATTTGATGGCAGGGTGGCAACTATTGAAAACTTGAAGAACAATATTTTGATCACAATTGTGATCGCAGATGACAAAAGTATCATCGACATACCTTTTGTATAAGAAGAATTTGTCGATGGTTGCTTTCAGCGGACCGTTTTCCAAACTTGCCATGAAAATATCAGCCAGCACCGGACCCAAAGGTGATCCCATCGCCACACCATCTTTTTGTCTATAGAAGTTCCCATTGAATGTGAACTGGATATTTAGGGTACATCTGAGTAGGAGTTCTTTTAGCTTGGTGGTAGGTATTCCAATATCCAGGTTGTTTTCTTCCAAGTATTTGCATAGAAAACAAATCGTCTCAGTGATGGGGACGTTTGTAAAGAGAGACTCGACGTCGAGTGAAATCATACGTTTGTCTCCCACTTTAACATCTTTGATGCAATCGATGAATTCGAAAGTATCCCGGAGGGAATGTTTTGAAATTCGTTCTCTGACCGGTTGTAGGAGTTCTGCTAGCTATTTCGCTATTGGATGATATGGAGATCCCGACATGTCCAAAATAGGGCGCAGCGGAAGACCCTGTTTATGAGTTTTTGGCAATCCGTATAGCCGGGGTATTATTGAACCTGTGGGTCGAATGCTCTCGAAGACATTTTCAGAGATAACTTGATCAGTCTTTAGCTTTCTCAAGATCTCAGTTAGTTGTTTTTCCGTCGCTTCGGTTTTGTCTTTCTCTCTTTCGAATACTGAGAACTTATTGTTGTCTGAGAGAATCACCATCATTTTATTAATATAATCTTTTCTATCCATTAAGACTATGCCTGTACCTTTGTCAGGACGTGTGATAAGCAATTCTTTGTTCTGCCTTAGTTGGTTGAGTTGTTCTCTATGTTCTTTGGTCAAAAGGCTGTTGAACTTGGACTTTGTATTCAGATACTGTTGACAAGAGTCTAGAATAGTGGACTTGAAATGTTTGAATTCTTCTTCGGAAGCTGGGACAATATCAGTAGTCTGATTGATCAAATTTTCAAACTCGACATAAGTATTGAGCTTGCTTATGTTGGAGTTCATGTCGCAGAATCTTGGCCCGAGAGACAAGGCCTCCAATTGTATGGGAGATAACGTTACTGACGAATAATTGAATACAAATTTGGTAGGATCTTCTGGAAACTTGCGTCTTGTTTCTGCAGGTTTGAGACTTTTCAATAAGTTAGAATGGATGGATTGTGTACGCTTCTCCGTAACCGCAGTGACATAGTCGGTAAATGCTTGTCGTTCATCACAAGACAATTCGTGTAACGCAGAGGATCGTTGCGCTATGTTCCTCTCGAGTTCTGGCACACGTGATATAATGGAATCGATATGGTTCAGAGTATGACGCTTGAGGGATTTAGAGTTACAACTTTGAGTATTAATCACACATTTTAACTTCTTCATTATTTTGATGATGTAACTCTACTCACATCTTACCAATCTTCACCCCACTTAGTTACAACTTTGAGTATTAATCACACATTTTAACTTCTTCATTATCTTGATGATATAATCAACAACCCACACTAACTGTTATTTTGATTTTGACAAACCTAATGTACACACACACAAAATAATTGTATATATATTTGCGACTGTACAGCTAAGTGAATGAATTCGCCGAAAAGAGACTCTTCGCTGAACTAATTTGTTCTTATTTCAATGTCTTAATGGGTGTATTTCGCGAATTAAAAATAAGCAAAGACTTAAAAGAACCCAAATTATGAGAAAAAGAATACATCAAACATTCGAATATCATTTATTCTAAAAAGACAAAGACAATAGATTTTATGAATTTTATGAATTCACTTTCTTAGTGCAGATAACATACGACAACAACGTTGGAAGCTTTTCTTAGTAATACCTAGGTTCGTAGACTGTTAGAATTACTTGAACTTCTGACAGTTCCACGAGAATGTATCTTATTCGCAACAATGATATGTTACATTTAATTCCTTAAAAAAGTGTTTTAAACAGATAGTTTACTTAAGAAGCATCTTTGAGTGAAATGTCATATAACGCTTTGAAGGATCAAAGTCCTAAATAAATTATTCAATCTTGTTAAACAATGTACTGTTTTAAATAGTATCACTGATAACAAATCGGAAAGTCAGAATGACGTCAATATTTTGTTTAGAATAAACAAACTTACCCATAGCCACTTCGTGAAAATGTTTCATTTTGCCACTGACGAGGTGGCCTGCCACGTTGAATAGAACTGACATGATCCCTTGATCCTGATGCATAGCGCTGTTTCGAATGTGGGGACTGACTATGATCCACACTATCAGCATGGTGTGGAGATACAGAATTTTGACGTCCATATGGAACATTGACTTCCTTAGAAGTACTAGTATTTACAGGTCTAGGCTGCAAACCCCGTTGTCCTGTACCGATATTCTCTGTTTGTAATCGACTGGATAAAGGAGCTTTCTGTGACTGAATTGGAAGTCTACTACTGGCAACATGGGATGAAATTGGTTTGCTGCTATAATTGGTAAATCCGCTTACACCTTCTTCGTCTTCACTAGATGAAGAGTCCAGCATTATTTACGAATATTTGAGCAGGTACGGGCTAGAAAGTTACAATAAAAATACTAATGAAATGAATGTTCATATATGAATGAAAACTAAAATTGAACAGCAATTACCCACAGCTACTAACACAGAAAGATTATTTTATTCAAAGCAGAAAAATGATATATTTGACGAGAAAATTCACGATTTAAATCAGATGATGACCCAGATTTTTGATTCTACGCATTCTGTATCTTAATTTGCAAAATTTAAATTTATTTAATTCTGAAGACATTATCGCATTTATTTCGGAACAGTTCAATTTAGAATTCGAGTTGTGCTGTGAAACATGCCTGTGGAAATGAAGCGTAAATATCACTTTTGTATTCTTGAAAGGTAGACAGCTGATAAAGTGTTGAGCTTCAAGAAGAATTAAAGCCTTCACAGTGGCTAAACATAAGTCGTGTGCGTCGGTGGCATAGTGGTTAGGACGCTCACCGACCATGCATATGGTCTGGGGTTCGATCCCCGGCCGGCGCACCCCTTTACCCCGCTGAGCCAAAACTAAAAAGCTGATGAAGAGGAAAGGTTGGCCATGAGGCTAGGAATAAAAAAAACAAATCAGTAGTAATAGTAATGACCATGAAATTTAGAGGATTTCAGAGGATTTTCTAAAATTTTTAAAAACTGAAACAGTGACAACCTCATTGAAGACCAGTATAGAGTGCCAAACTTTCCAAGATAAAAAAAATGTAATGTATAGTGTTACATAATAATTTTATATTAGTTATAACTTTCTAACACGTGGTCACATAATTATTTTAAGATTTTAAGATTTTTACAAAGATTTGGATTAGTTTCACTATAGATTTCATCATCGAAAGCCAAAGAGCACAGAATAGCTTGTAGGGGCAGTGTTAAATGATAATCCCACTAGGGGTCGAACCTAGGACCCTCATGTTACGAGCCTATTGTGTTAACCATTCAACCAATGGGATATAATTCAATAGTCCATGAATTTTAACTCCTGTCAGTTTGCGATATAGCGCTACCACCAGTTAGTGCCTTCGATGAGTACTTTTCATATGTGAGTGTAAAATATGGTGCTTCATTCACTCAGATACATACATACGACTGATTAACCTGAATATCTCTTTAAAAGTCATTTAGATGTTGCACACAATCATTCTTACTGGGATTTTGAGTAACTATAACAACAGGGAATAAAATCTGATTATGACATGTATCAAATTAACTGAATGATATTTATATCCCCTGACTACTTCGTATGCTGCTTTCCTTAAAAATACACTATTATATCCAAATTAAGTGATTGTCCTTGGTACCAGATGACATAAAATTGACTGAATAAAATTTTAAGGAAGGATAAAAATAGGCAGAAGTAGGCCAAAAGGTCAAAATTGAGAAATGTCATTCAGTTAATTTCATATATATATATGCCATATGAAGATTTCTTAAATTACGTTATATCTACTCACAGTCCCAGTATGATTGATTGTATTCAATATGTAATTGACATTTAAAAAAAGTGGATATTTAGAGTGAGCAATAGCATATATATATAGTGATATGTGAGAAATAAATATATGATTGAAATATACTACCCCAATCGTAATCTGCTTCTTACTTTCATCGAATGACTGATGAGTATAGTCTGGCTCAAAAATGTCCAGTTAGCTGTGTTGCTTCTCAAGCCTATTTTTACGTGAAGATAGCTTTTCAACTTCAATGTAGTAAACATGAGCTATTTTTGACTTTACTAGCTGTTCAGGTGGTACTACTGTTTAATTGATCATTATGTCTCATGTGCAGATTAAGTAGGAATAATGGTGTCTTAGCACTTAGAGAGGTCTAATATATTTTAACCTCTTCTTATATGGATGTATTTTTCGTTCAATCTGAGCTCGTGATTTTTTCGCCTACTTTTTGACTCTAACCACAAGTGAGTTAGCTTCCCATATATATGTACGTATATATTGGTTACGCTTGTTTAGCAATATATAGCTGACAATTTGTTTTCTTGATTGCCCATTATTTACGGCAATTAGTGTTCACATATTCATTAATATTTAAATATCCTAACAGTGGAGTATTTATTTGTGTCATGAAAATAACAATAAAAAGCAGCAGAATAGATGGGAAATAAAGGTAACCAGATAAAACAGTTGTAAATCACTAGGAGACTTAGAAATAAGATTTATCTTATCCTACTAATACCAGACTGTGCGTCGGTGGCACAACGGTAGAATGCTTGCCAACCACACATGTGGTTCGGGATTCGATCCCCGACTGACTCACTCCTTAACCTCACTAAACGAGTAATAAGACTGGTAGAGAGGAAAGGTTTGGCATGAGGCTAGCAACCCCATCCAGTAAAAATAAACACCACTGCTACAGAAACTTCAAAGCTCTAGCTTGAAGTCCTATGTTCTACTGGGAACGTAAAAGAATAAAATAAAATAACTAATACCAGACAAAATAACACTGTCATAATTTTATAATTTACAAAAATGAAGAGAAATACACTTTTTGATGGAATGGAAAATTTATACCTGTAAGTTATAAATTAACCTAAACACCATACTACTTGAACTCCGTAGACATTCATTTTAAAAGACTACTGTTAAGGACATTTAATTTAGCTTCTTTTTTATAAGAATACAGACATAGAACACAAAGTATCTAGGTAGGTCTAAAGCTATATCATCAAAGCTTCAAATGTTCAGCGTACAAAGTAAAGTTTCAACAAATATTGTTTCGTTCCTCAGGATGCAGAAAATACTACTAGTTTTAGTTTGAACGTATAAAGACTGACATAGACAGATGAATCAATAAATAATCTATCTGAAGAATACACCAGTTCGTGTTGCTACATTCAGAATTGAACACGAGGAAGTAATGAAAATAGATGAAAAGCTTTCATAGTGCAAGAGGAATGACAATAATCGTATGAAGATAACTTAGAATAGGTATAAACTCGATATTGACATATTCGTGAACTCTATTGAACTAAGTTTTCAACCTTATTTGTTTAAGTCAGTTTTGATTTTCCCATTGATTGACAGAACGGAAGCGTTCGGTCTTTGGGAAGAACGACAGTTACTGAAGATGCAGGTTCATCTGGACGGCGAGTTTCAAATGGGAGGAAATGCGCATCCTGGATTCCACAGCTAGTTACCATCCACCAGATTTCTTTAAGTTTCTGGTCTACCCAAGGATCTGTATATTCTTCACCTTTCTGTATGACTCAGACTCGAAAACACAGACTTCATTGATAGGTGCCACTTACTTGTCCAACAAATCCTATTTTCTGGGAACTAATTATTTTACACCTTAAGTTGCTCTTCTAACAAGGTTATGGCTGGAAATGCATAAAGTATGTCCTAAAGTGCTCAGTAAAAGCTTTAGCTCAGCGAATGACTTCATTTCATCCAATTTATAATCATTTTATGTCTCCTGCTTCCGGTTAACAACGTCTCTTAGCCGAGAATTAGTAAACAATAGATGAGACTTACAGGATATTTCGCCAATGACAAACGAGACATGGGGTTGACTTAAGCTGAACTAGATTTTTGTAACATTGAATGTAAGCTTAAAGAAATTCACTGTAATTGGATTACCCAATTCCCTCAAGATTAGAGTTTAGGAAAAAAATGACAATAACGTCTAAACTAAGATTAGTGGTTCAATCACAATTTTCACTTACACCAAAACTTTCACAAAAATTAACCTGTACTTGTTTTTCAAATGAATTGTGCAGATTATTTTTCAAAACAATTTCAAAACTATTCGAATAACTAAAGCTAGTCTGTAAAATCCTACTTTTATACTCATAGAATAAAAGAAATAGAAAAGGAAATTTCTATTAGATTACAAGCATAGAATTTCATTCTTTTCCAATAATAATAATAATTTGCTTCATTCCAAAACAGTACTTGTGATATAGAATGGAATTCTCAGCATTTTTACTACAGTATTGCATCCAGTTAGTACATTATCAATAAATAGAATCCTACATAGATTAAGGAAATCCCAGTTCATTATGACAACATATTGGCATGTCGGTAGCAAAGCCAAAGCTGAACAGTGTTTGAAGGTGTTAGAAAAGTAGGTGCTGTCATATTTACTGGCGTAAGCGGAAGAAAGAAACGAAGCAGAACACAAGAGAAAAAAGAGATAGAAAAGGAAAAGAAAGAAAGAAAAACGTTGTACCTATAAATGATATGAGTTGGAAAGACGAGGTCCAGTTGTACTACTGACTATTTAATGAATTATAGGTGTCACGCCTAATGCTTTCTTTATCGCACAGAACACGAGCTAAGTAGGGTATGGTTAAGTTTTTGATACAAAATCCATTTGGTATGCACTAGGCAAACATATGCAACTTATTCTTATAATTGTAGCGTTGTGATTTATTGATTCAAGTATGAGACTTCATTTCATGAACCAGAGGCTTGAATGAATACCGGTTAGGACAAGGCTGTTCATTCAGCTGTACAATGACCGATCAAAATGAAGGCTAGCTGCTTGAAGGCCTTCGAACTCATTGAAGAATAATACCTCATGTTACATACATCGCTTACACAAATGTCTTTTAAACAAGGTGTTAATTTTCATGAGTAAGTCTGTAAGGATTCGATTTGTATTTTTTTCAAGTTTGACCACGGACTGATAACAGTTAAAGAACCAGTGAAAACCAGGGAGTACTGGAAAGCTGCTTCGTGCTAGTTTGGGGCTCATCGTCAGTACGCATACACCGCGGTTAATTATCGCTTACTTATCAAAATTTACTACCAATAATCTCACGTTGTAGTCCCCTTTTAACAAACAGAAACATCAACATTTTTAACAGAAAATATGTATGTTTACAATATAGCCTATTTCTGTCTTTTCCAGACGTTAAGGCTGGTTTAAACAGTATTAAATTTCCACATAAATCCTATCTAATTCTTTTGCTTTGACATGTAGGCATGCAGACACGCATATAAAGGTTCATAAACACATTTAAATAAATGTAAACATAAAACGTAGAAGTAT